CATTGAATGATAAGCACCTAAAGTATACTTGTGTAAGCTTGTGAAAGTGCAAAGCCACACTGTGAGGCAAACGGATTTGCTCTTTCTGTATCTGAGTAAAAATATACAAAGTGTTACGAAACAAACTTCAATTATATTGCTTTAAATAGCTAAAACTCATACTGACACATGGTAGCAAAAGGGAAGACAAATTCATTCACTTGAGGGAAAGGCTAAGCCGACTGATGCATTAATTTGGGACTGGGAAAAAAGTGATACAGGCTTTTAGAATATTTGACATTGTCAAGTCCACCCACTATGCGAGGGGACAAGTATTGGTCCCAGAGATCTGTTTTTAACAAGTCTTTTTTTAAAGGCCCAAATACTAGTTCAGAGGTGATCATAATGCTTACAAACACATGAATTTTGTGTAGTTACAGCTACTGCTTTACATGTCAGAATGCTTCGGATGTCCTTGCTTTCTCGTGTGAGCCCAAGCTTATAGAAAGTAAGTTGCCAGCAGGTACAAGCTGGACACACCCAGTGCACAAATTATACTGACATGGCCTGTCAAACATGCTTGAGGATGTCTCAAAGTCACACACTGCTTTCATAAAGCAACATTCACACAGTGAGTAACTTGGGTTGACAGTATGCCAGAAATAAATGGGCTGCAAAGTAGCAGAGCCTCTTTTTCTTCAGTACAAGGCAGAAAAGCACTTAGAGTTCCAATTAGACACTGGTGATCTCACAGCTGCAAAACACATCCAGGCAAGACTCTCGGGAACGGCTCCGTGTTCTTAGAAATATTCTTCCTCTTCATCAAAAAAGCCATTTTCCAATGCATACGCACAGTCTGCACTTGATACAGCTTGGCAGGCACCTTTATATTCTTGGATTGACTCATAAAGGGAATACAGTTGACACAATAACGACATATCTAGCTGCCGGAGGCCAACCTTGTAGGAAAGAAAACACATGCATACACATTAGCATTTATGCCTTGATTTCACGTCTAAAATGCTGGCCCTTGCACATTCTGTCTACCCACAGTGACTTAATGCAAAAGATCAGTATTATACCTTACAAGTATATAATATAGTAGGATCATTAAATCACTTGGGAGATTCCACCCTGCTGAAAAGAACACATGAACAAGCAACTGTGGGGAAAATAACGCAGCACCCAGGATACAGTGTGGCAAAGCATTCCTGATGCTTAAGTCACGCTACCAAGCCCTCTTTAATAGCAGAAGATCCATATAATCTTAGGTGGATATGCTACCATAATGGAAAACTAGGTGTGATCAAAACATACCTGTGTCAGAATGAGATCACTGCAGATATAACAATGAAGTAGGCACGCTGGCACAATTTAACATACAGCGTGGGTTAGCAGGAGAGGGGGCACTGAGCCTTCCTTCCCAGGTCTCTTTGTTTTCTTTTACCCCCTAGCCATTTTTCTCCCGGTGCAGCCTCCGATCACAGAATTCCACTTGGAGAGAAGCAGCTGTGCAAAGAAACCCACCCAGGCTGCAATTTACATTCCACCACACCCCATTATAAAACATCAGCACAACCTATTCTAGCAAACTGGCATGCTCCATTGTGTTTCGCTTGCCCTCTAAAGAGCATTCAGACTGATATACTTGCTTCTTGCAATGTCTCTGGAAGTCAGCCAGCTATCACAATGTCTGTCCTCATAGGTACTTTAAAGGAAAGTGTGCTGCTATGCCTGGCCACAGTTACCTTTCTTACATACACACACACTCCGGGGGGGGGGGGGGTGGCCCACGGGAAGTAAAAAATCAGGAAGTTGTTACCCCTCCTGCTTTTGAAGAGAATTAAACAGAGGAGGAGCCAAGGAGGCAAGAAGTATGCAGTATTAAAATGCCCTGTCAAAACTCCTTTTAAAGGAGTTACATCCGAGAGTCCCAGGAAAAAGTGCTGTACCAAGATGTGGAATACCTGGGGAGAAAATAGAGGCTCTTGACACAAAGGGGATATAAAATGCACCATTTTTTCATGAACTGGTGCCTTTTGTTTCCCTTGAAAGTTCATCTTTTGACAGCTGATAAGGAAAACTAAAAGGAGGAAAGAATTTGGCACTTCTGGATAATGTCCAGGGTTGGTACCTGCCACACCAGAACAGCAAACAGCCCTCTAGACATTTCCCCAGACATGGCCTTAAAACTCTACAACTGCACAAAAGTTTGCAGTTGTGCAGATGGTTAAAAATGAGCATAGATCATTGCACAATTGTTGTGTGTGCATACATATGCACACGCTCTTCCAAAGTGCTTCTCAGGTGCTTTGAAGGGGCTGTCAGTGGTTGTCAGGAAATCAGGATTGCAAAAAGCTTTCATGATCAACATGAAAATAAAGGTTAAAATCCCAAAAAGGAAAAAAGAAAGAAAAAAACGGCGGGGGGGGGGGGGGAAAAGGGTTCTGGATTGCAGCACAGGGGGGGGGGGGGAGAGGGCAACGGGGTCCTACCACAGTTCTCCTGGGATACTACCTGGAGAATTGAGGGGGAAGGAGGGGAGGGGGCAAGCCATCTACAGTCAGCCTGATTATCTGTTTGCAGAACATCAAATCCACTGTGGCTTATTGGCAGGGAAGGTTATTGTGATGCATGAACCAATTGATTGGGTCTTCTGAAGAAACAATTGTTTAGCTATATACAACAACTTTCACATGAACAGTCTTGTCTAAGGAAGAGTTAGGTAACTGGTGTTCTCCAAACATTCTGTTCTTATTGTTTCAGTACATTTATCTCTGGCTATTTTTTCTTCTTGCAAAGGAAGCACCTGGTCTGCTTTCACAGCACCCTTTTTCCATGCCTGGTGTGGCTGGGAATGGTGTCTGGTTTGCCTGTTTGCAATGCCCTCTTCTGCATCTTACATATGCTCTTTGGGCATCTGCACCTGATGGAGAAGGTTGCTGGTTGCACAACCAGGATTCGATGAGCATTCGTGGACTTCCTCTTTGTAGGACCAGACTGTGCTCCACAGATGCTAGAGGAATGCTTTCTGAAAGGGTTTGTCCCAACACCATATGAAGGTAAAACTGGAATGAAGTGGAATATGAAAATGACCAAACACACCATCCTTCCCCACCTCATACAGTACTCTCAGGAAGTCACATTTTTACCATGCTTCCTCTCTGCAAACTGCTGAAATCTCATCAAACTATTAATCCCCTATATATTGCTGTATCCAATGTCACAGCACATTATTTTATTCTGCCTTGCAAACGGTGATGCACTGTTGTCAGACACTAAAGGTATAGTCCTATGCATATTCAGACAGAAAAAGTCCTATAGGTCCAGCGTTCCCCATCCAGCTATGCTGGAAATTGTAGGATTCTTTTTCTGTCTAAACTTTAATAGAATCACACCCTAAGTACACTCCCCCTGCCACACAAACAGAAAGATTTTGTGGTGAATCTAATGATGATAAAGGTAGACAAGATATGGGGTCTGGAGCCTGTTTGCTTAATGATGAAATTTTATCTCAGTGGTAAGAAACTAATTAGATGGCATCACACTTTCTTTCATAAATCTTACTTGTGTCCTTCAGATAAAATGTAGTTGTATATGCTCTTGAGATTTGCTCATCTTACTGTCACATTTGTTTGCCTAGCACCTACCTATATATTTGTCTTGCTTGCCCTACACCCACCTCTTGTTCTAATCCTTTACTTGGCATCCACTCAAATACGTACTTGCATGTGTTGTTGTTCCCCTCTAACACAGTGATTCCTATCTCCGTACCTTCCCTTATGCATACCTAGATGCTCTGCCACATAAATAGTACAGTAACAAGGCAAGCGCCCCTGGAAGTTAATATTGTCAATTAACAGAAAGTATTTGGTTTTGATGGGCAAATCCAGAGGGTGCCAGAACTAAGCACCTAACAGTAATCTGAATGCCACTTCTTTACTCCAGGAAACCAAAGACAAGCCAATTCACACAGGCAAGTGCAGCGGGGGTGGGTGGTGGGGAGGGCGTTCTATGTCTCAAGGTAGGATCAGTGCAGATGTTTTTCATGTCTCTTCCCCTTCTCACCATAATTCTAAACAGTGCATCCCTTCAAGAGCTATTAAAAGCGCCCCATCACCCCAGAAGGGGCATTAGGTAAGTGCATGCTTCATAGAATGGAGAGTTTGGTAAAGTATGGACCCCCTCCTCCATAGGTAAGCTCTTAACATATACTAATGAAGACCTCAGGGAACATACACTCTCCTCTGTTAGTGAACGTGAGGAATTCTGTTTGAACACTGTTATTTCTAGGCAGCCATGATCATGCTTCCTTGCAGGATCAGAAGCAGATGAAACAGCACAGGGAAATGGGCAGGAATGCTCCAGGGACAACATTAGTTGCTCCAACAGGTGACTTTTCTAACATGGATATCAGAAATAATATCCATATCACAGTTTTGGAAGCAAGGTGGGTAGCTATCAGGTAGAAGGACCTCATCTACAGAACTCAGTTCCTATAGCCACTTCTCTGGTTCCTATTCATATGAACTTTAGGTACTAGAGAAAAACCATTGAACTGATCTTTAGTGGTTCCTTGGTACGATTAACCAAAGGACATGCAGCCAAGCATGAATCATTTTAATAGCTGATATCCCATTTTCCTGTTTCAGATTGCAACACTCAAAGTGGCTAACAATTACCACAGGAAAACTATGGCAGCTGCTGACCAGTATTCATTATACCAGGAATGGTGAATCTCTGCCCCTCCAGATGATGTCAGACTCAAACTCCCATCAGTCCCAGTCAGCATGGTCAGAAATGATGAGAGATGTAATTCAACATCATTTGGATGGCCAGAATTTGCTGGTGACACAAATTTTGCAAGTATCCCAAAGATTAGTGTGGCTTTAATTCTGTATTTCCCCACAAAGGGACTCAATTCCCCCTACACACACACACAATTTCCTCTATTTCATTACAGTATTCTTCTGAGCTATTGAGCAAGTCAGAGAATTGTTTCCCATAAACAAGCCATTGTTAAGGCTCCAATGTCTTGGTGAATCCCCCACCCCTGGGATTTCCCATACAAAATGATTCCTTTCTCTCAAAGGCACTGTTTCTCCAGCAGGACTTGAGGTCTTGTCTAGCAGAGGCCATGGGCTCTCCATGCAACTGAGGCTGGATGACATGCTTCCTGATCACCCATCCTTCCGGATCTGCACATTTTCCTTTCAATCATTTGGCTGCCTGCAGACTGTGTGATGTACAAGGGCAATGGACCCCCACCTCTCTGCACCTGCCAGGATCCCTGGAGAGATGTGTGTGAGATTTGTGTGAGTGTGGGGTGTATCTGCCAGCCATCTGTGCAGTGAGGCAGAGCCCATAGTGGAGATGTTTCACCATCACTGTCTCTGGGGGCGCCAACAGCAGGATGTTGGCAGTCTTGTCATGTATGCAAGGCAGACATGGCTTTGTTATCTACTTTGCTGCCGGGAGTACATATGATCCCCAGTACACGATAGATTTTTCTGCATCTTGCTTTACCTAGGCTTCTTCCATATGCATTGTGGGAGTAAAAGCATGCCCTTTACAGTTTTCCTCCCCTGGGATTTTGATGCCTCTGCCTTCTTCTATGTTCTATTATGCAACCATAAGGCAGTGCTGTGATATACCACAATTGCAGAACTAAACTGCTAGTTTTAGTGGGTTTTAGTAGCTAAAAAGCTTGTTATCTTTGTTCTTAAAACAACAACAACAACAACAACAAGAGTTAAATGCTTGGAAAGCATGGGAGAGACTCTTGAGGAAGAAGACATTGTGCAAAGCCCGTGAACTACCATGAGCACACAATAAATGCCTTTTGTAGAGAAGTCCAACATTGTATGTTACATAACCTAAAACCACATATAGGTTGGAAGCACCATCCCACAAATACTGCAAAGAGAAACTACCAGTTAATCACATCTTTAAGTACAAGATTTAGACTTGATTTGTGCGATGCAACCACCCACTGTGGTCAACTGGCCATGATAGATTGTCATGTCATGTGAACCTGGACTGGTTTCCTAAGCCTGTTTTCCACAAATAAGCCACTCCTGACAATTTGTGGCTTGTTTTAGGAATTGTTTGGATACCAACCGATTCTTGTGCTGTCTGAATCTGGAAAGAAAATTTATCATGGGTTACCAGGCCTGGCTGCAGAGTTGCTTGGCAAGAGCAGCAACCCTCCATGCCACGGGCTTTTTGTGATCTCACTAGTGACTGCTCTTCCACAAATGCCAACAAGGCAATCTGGTAGGACCCTCGCTCCTTCCTTGGATTTTTAAAAACATTTTCAATGCCTCAAAAATGTCAACTGGCATTATAGGTCTTCCTGGCACCGTCGTTATTTGTTTTTCGGCGCCAGGCCAAGACCTTTTTATTTAAACATTTTATTTGTTGATTTTATTTATTGATTTTAAATTTTTATGCCAGGAAGTCTCCAGTATTTTATGCATTTGTATAGATACATATTTATGTGTTGGAAGCTGCCCCGAGGCTTATGCAAATAGGGTGGCATACAAGTATTCCAAATAAATAAATAAATAAAATGTATGTATGTATTTATTTATTTATTTCACAAGTGTGCTGTTTCAGCTGTCAAGTATGTGCCAGTTCTGGACACCACAAGTTTAAGAAAGCCCCGAGGGTTCGGCGAATGGGGCGGCATAAAAATGTTTTAATAAATAAATAAATAAAGAAAGAAAGAAAGAAAGAAAGATGGAGAAAACCTGGAAAGGGCACAGATAAGGGCAGCAAGGATGAGTTGGGGACTGGAAACAGTCCCATGAGGAGAGATTAAAAGGACTGGACTTGTTTAGCCTTGAGAAGGGAAGGCTGAGCAGAGCTATGATAGCGCTCTACAAGTACTAGAAAGAAAGTCACAAAGAAGGAGGACAGGATCGCTTCTTGATCATCCTAGAGTACAGGACTTGAAATAATGGGCTCTAGTTACCAGAAGCCAGATCCTGGCTAGATATCAGGGAACATTTCCTGACTGTTAGAGCAGTATGAGAATGGAAACAATTACCTGGGAAAGTTGTGAGCTCTCCTACACTAGAGGTGTTCAAGATGCAACTGGACAGCCATCTGAGAGGGATGGTTTAAATTAGTGTCCTGCATTAGCAGTTGGTTGGACCCTCTGGTCCCTTCCAGTTCTACTGTTCTATGATTCTACGTGGATCTTTCCACATAGAATCATTCAATCAACCCTGACTGCTCTTTAGAAGGACAAATACTGAAGCTGAAGCTCAAATACTTTGGCCACCTAATGAAAAGGAAGGACTCATTGGAAAAGACCCTGATGAAGGCAAAAGGATGAGGGGATGGCAGAGGTTGAAGTGGCTGGATGGGGTCACTAGGGAGGTGGGTATGGGGTTGGGTGGACTCTGCGGGATGGTGGAGGCCAGGCGAGTCTGGAGGAATGTTGTCCGTGGAGTCGTGGGGAGTCAGACATGACTTTGCGACTGAACAACTACGTGTGGATCTTTGCTATGTAAATTCATCTGTCTGTTCCAGCTGTCAATGGGAGCAGCAAGTGGGAATAGGCAACATGCATGATTATTGCCAAGGCAATGCTACATATAGAATAGTTTGCCTACAGTTAAAACTGATGAGGGGAGAAATAATAGTAAGAGAAAGAAGGGACCTGGTAGTGCAATTCAGAAGCACCAAAAATAGGGGGAAAGTGGATGGAAATTCCCCTGGGATATGTTCCAAAGCCAGCTGGAGGACTGAGGGGGGTGTGAAAAACCCTCAGCAAACCTGACGGGTCTGGCATCTTGTGTGTTGCTCTATGAACAATCCACACTGTGCATCTTGTTCGTAGGAGTGGCATAGTCTGATGTATGAACCCACACGGAGAGTGATCACATGCCATGTCTATTCATAAGCAGACAAACTCATTCTAAGGAAACTCAGTCATCACAACTTCCTTCCTCCACAAAGAATGAGAAAAAGGCAGCTCCAGAGTATTCAATCAGGGGTGTGCCAGGCAATTATACACCATGCACGCTTTTAGGAATTTCATTTTACAGATCCAAGCCAAAAGGGTTTTACATACCTAATTATTAGATCTTGTTGCATTATGGACAAAAGAGAGCATTTACCTTGAAGCTCTTCTCCTGCTAAAGACACAGGTTACAATCTTTAAGACAACAGAATTTTAAAGGGCTTTTGTTTGACAGAAAATGTATTAGCTTGTTTTAAAGGAACAAGGGAGAAAAGCCACCCCCCATGCCAGTCATATGTCAGGTAATTTCCTTAATTATGCACACAGTGTGTGGCTACGCTGGCTGTCCAAACCTGGCAAGATGCATGGTGGAGGCAGTGAGCTAGACTATTTTTTTTGAGCAACTGAGAAATCAAGGAAAACACACATCCCCTTATTTCAAGAGCAAAACTGCTTCTTTTTAAGAAGGAAATAAAGGGAGGACAGAAAATGACAAAAGGCATTTAACTGGGAAGAGCCTAATAGATGAACACCCTTTCAAAACATATTTCAGAAGTTATTGTAAGGAACCTAAGATTTTCCATTTTACTGAGCTCCTTTCATCGGCATTTCATTTTCTCTTTTTCTTTCATAAGGAATGTTGTAGTCACAATATCAAGATTGGTTTTAAATCCCATAACAACAACTTAGGAAACTACCACAGGCCCAGTTCCAGAGAACAGCACAGCAAGTTCTACAAAGCCAACGAGGTTCTGACTTGTGTTTCTAGAATAGCAGCAACCCTCACCTTCCAAAAAATGTATTTTCAAAACTGATAGTAGTAGTTTGTTAAAAAGTTTGTGATGTGGCTTTTCCATCAGCTGCTCAAAGTAAAGACATAAAAATTCTCACTTGACCCCACTTGAGCTCTTTACATCTGGAGCATAATGACTGATTTTGTTTAAGCAAAATCACTTCCAGTTTTCTCTTTCTGTTTCTATTTACACACACACCCACCCACACACCATCTTTCAGTCCTAAGAAAGGTTTATAGCAGTTTACAATTCAAAAACTTACATTTTATAAAGCAGAGCATTAAAACTGCTAGGAATGAATCCACAATAGGCAAAAGGCTTAGTCGAAGAGAAGTGTATTAGTTAACCTCCTAAAAGACAGCAAATAATTTAGCATTAAATAATGCTAGATTATTTAATGCTAAATATCTAGCCCTGCCTGGGGGAGAATTCAGCCGTCAGGGTGCAACCTCTCATTGCTATTCTGGCTAAACAGAAAACAGGAGCTCTGAGGGGTATGGTGATGTGGTAAAATGGCATTTTCTTGTATTTTAATACCAAGCATTTTGCCTAATATTTTGTGCCAGTCATTTCAGAAATAGCCCTGTAACACAGTTCAGTAGAAGTAACTCCATAATGCATATGTGGGGTTGAAGCTGAGAGCAGCTTGCCTATGGCCACCTATCAAGTTCCTGGCTAAAGTGAGAGTTGAACCTGAGACTTCATCTTGCAGCAGTGACACAAGAACAGCAGCAGCATTGTATCTGGGGTGAAGAGTCGACTTTCACTGTCCAAAAGTGCCCAAACATTTCATATCCAGGAAATTTGTTCCCTGTTAAGTGGCCAAGTTTTCCCAGTCCCCCAGCATTAGGGGCAATTACCTTCTGGCTTGGATATAAAGCACTTCTCTAACAAAGCAGCCTTTAATTATGCTTACTTGAGGCTATGAGCCATTCATTCCATGAATACATTTTAAAAATCTGGGTATGCTGAAGGGTCTTCAACTATATGTTCATCATCCTAACATACACAGAATGAAACAGAAATTCCGAAGAGCTGTCTGACCAGATGCTACCTTGAAATGTCTACAGTAGAAACAATAAAGTGTCTTGTGACACACTTAAAATGCGCAAATTAATTCCATTATAAGCTTTTGTGGAGATGAACCCGTCATCAAATGTAGCGCAGGAAAACTTATGCAGGAATAAATGTGCTTGTCTTTAAGATGCTACAAGACTCTTTCTTCTTTGCCAATTATGTTCTGGAAATTGTGAATGTATGTGTGGTGACTGTATAGTGCAGTGGTTAGAGAAATGGCCTGGGAATCAGGAACCCAGGATTATAGTCCCCATTTAGCCATGAAACTCAGTGCTTGTCATTCTAGCCTACCTCACGATTGTTGTGAGGTCGAACTGAAGAAGAGGAGGATTATGCAAGCTGTCTTGGGTTCTTTCCGGGGGGGGGGGGAAATCTAAAGCTGCACTTTGTACATGTTCAGAGGCATTACAGCCCGCTTTCTCGAGCGCCGCTCTGGATTTGCCAACCAGACCTGGAATTCAGCTCTGCCTCAGATTAAGCAGCTTGACAGAACAGTTGTACGAAGTATACTCAGAAAAAATGGGCGCACGCAGCAGCCACCCCATTAGACAGATCCGCCCGCATGCAGAGATTTCCCGGCCAGGGGACTCGCCCCTTCTCGCCGCGCGGGAGCGGCCCCCGGACTGCGCACTCACCATCTCTTTTCGGAGTAGGGCCAAGGCGGCGTCCAGGTTGGGAGGCTTGGGCAGCCGCGGGGACCCTCCTCGGCCGCCTCCGCCGCCGCCGCCGCTCCGGCTCAGCTCGTCCTGGATGCGGGACTTCTGCGCGTACAGCCGCTCCAGGTCCCGCCAGCGCCCCCCGCCGCCGCCCGGGCCGCCCCCGCTGGAGGAAGAGTTCAACAAGCCGCTCAGGCTCTTGGGCAGCGGAGGCAAGCCCGACGCGCCGCCGCTCCCGGGCAGCCCGGCCGCGTTCATGCTGCCCAACGGCCAGCCGCTCGCCTCGGCGCAGCTGAGCTAATCCGGGGAAAGCAAACAAGCGCCGCCGCCACCGCCGCCGCCGTTGTCGTCGTCGCGGCAGCAGCGGCGGCCCGCCCCCTCCCGCGGCTCCTCCTCCTCCCTCGCCCGCCGCCCGCCCCCAAGCGGCGCTTGCTGCCCGCGCGTCTCAGCCGCCTGGCCCGCCCTCAGCAGGGACAGCCCGCGAGGCGGGACTACGCGGGGAGAGCAGGCTGGGCGCTGGCCCGTAAGGGCAGCGTTATCGCCGTTGCCACTATAATTATTCTAATTATTAACTTATTCTCTGTAGTGCCCAAGAGCCGAAGGTTTCTGGGAGTTTACAATCGTTCATAAAACAATAAAGCACAAATACATATAATAGAATGTCACATGATATTTCAGAGTAGGAGTTTATAGTTAGGGCTACAAAAATGATCCAGGCTTTGGAAACACTGCCCTATGAGAAGAGACTGAAGAACTGGGCATGTTCAGCCTTGAGAAGAGAAGACTGAGTGGAGACATGGTATACCTCTATAAGTACCTCAAAGGCTGTCACAAAGAGGGAGGTCAAGATCTCTTCTTGCTGATGCCAGAATGTAGGACATGAAATAATCAATTCAATAATCCAGATTCAGGCTGGATATCAGGAAAAACTTCCTTACTGTCACAGCAATACAAGAATGGAACCAGCTGCCTAGAGAGGTGGTGGGCTCTCCCATACTAGAGACATTCAAGATGAAACTGGACAGCCATCTGAGTGGGATGGTGTAACTTGGAGTCCTGAAACAGCAGGGGGTCGGACCTAATGGCCTTCTTGGCCCTGTCCAACTCTACTATTCTTTGATTCTATGAAAACAATTTAAAACATAACACAGGAACTCAAGATGTTAAAATATAGCATCTTGAGTTCCACAGGGGTGAGGGAGGAGTGAAAGGAAATTCTTTTTCAGATAGATAGGTCTAAAGGAAAAGAGGAGCGGGGGTGGAGAGGAATTTGAAATAATGTATTATTAGAACAAATCTCACCCCTTCAGTGTGCAAACTCTCCAGCACTCCAGAACCCTTCACCATGTTCTAGGAAATTTGAAAAGAATGCACAGTTTTGCTGATTTTTTTCTTAGGACCTAATAAGGATGTTTAATTCAACCAACCAACTGAACAACTGTATCTATGATCACCACCAGGTGGTCAGTGTTGAAATTAAATAGATTATGTCATTGGAAGCAGCAGATGGAGAAGATGTATTCTCATTGCCAAAACAAGACCTGGAACAGATTGTGGAAGTGGCTATGAACTACTAATATCAAAAGGCAGGATAAAGCTGAGCAAGACGACTAACAGAAACATAGTGCCAAAATACAACTTAACATTTCTGAGGAAATTAAAGTGCACATAAAGAACAGATTTGGATTATTCAGTTTAACTGACCATAAGCCAAAAGAACTGTGAGCTGAAACCAGAGACATTATTACATGAGAATGCAAAAAGATAATTCCTGTAGCAAAAATAAAAAGCCTAGAAGCCAACGGAAGAAACACAGTTGCTAAGGGCAGGTCAGAAGTGAAAGCAAAAGGTGACAGAAATAGGATCAGAATTCTGAATGCAATCTTTTAGGGACTATCATGGACAGACAAAAAAAAACTATTACAATGACCAGTGCAGAGAAATAGAAGAGAATAACAAAAAGGAAAAATAAACTACTGCTTCCAGAAGAGCCAACAAATCAAAGGGAAATTCAAACCTAGATTAGTAATGCTAAAAGACTAACAAAGGAACATAGAAAATAAAAAGAGAAGCTGGAAAGAATATACAGAAGAGATGAAAGGATGACAAACTCCTTGGAAGAGTAATCCTATGAGGAAGAACCTACAATATTCGAAAGTAAAGTGAAAACTGCTCTGAAAGCACATGGAAGGAATAAAACATCTGGAGTAGACAGGATACCAACAAAACTATTTCAAGCTGCAGAGACTGAACTGGTCCAAATCTTAACAAGAACATGCCAACAAATAGGGAAAACAAAACAATAGTCTACAGACTGGAATCATTCAATATGTATTCCAATTGCCAAGAAAGGAAATGGAAAAGAGTGTAGCAAGCACAGGACCATTGCACTAATAATTCCTGTGTATACAGTACTCACATCCAAGGTTTGTTTCTGCGTAGTGCTGCCATCTTCATGAGAGGATTAAACAAGGCCTTTTTCTGATGATTGCTGATTTAGTCTGAAGACATTAGAAGCAAGTTTCCTGTGGTTGCTGTTCTTATTTTTCTTGTGTAAAATTTCCATTCTCTGTCGAAAACTCTGGCTAAAAATATTATTAAAATAAAAAACAAAATAATGTTAGAAATAATGCACAAATGTAAATTAGCAACATTAAAAGCACATGAGTTTGAACCACAGTTTACAAGCTGCAGGCCATAGTATTTACCAAACTTTAAAAGTTTGTTGAAATAAAAGCAATCTCAAGTAATCCCTTCTGCCTACAAAAGAGGGGAACTGGTAAATCTCTACACCATCAATGAAAAGGCCTCTTAAAGCTATTAACAGAAATTATTCCTCTCTAGTGTTCTACTTATCTGCTGTTCAATACTTACTGTTTTATCATGGATTGTTTTCATCTGTTCTTATAGATAGTGCAGTCAATATATAACAACACAAGAATAATTTAAAATTATGTTTGGAATTATTTAGAAGAAATAATTTTGGATAAGTTAGTAAAAAAGATTTCAGGTATCACACTGCCCATGTTCAAACACAGGAAACAAAGGAAACAGGACTTCAGTGATAAGTAAGGAACCCAGATATCTTATAGCAGGAACTAGACAAAACCTTTGGAAACTTATTTCCTTGGTTGAAGAAAAATACACAAGTAGCTACACAGTTCTCTCAGAAATGAGCATGTAAGTGCACCTAAATGAGCAGCTAGCATTAATGGGCATTCTTTTAAAAAATGGAAAGAATATTGAGCAAAGAAATATGACCGGTCATGATTTATTATTATAGATCCATAAATGTATCAACTGACCTACCAAGGTGATTTGTGTGCACAGACAGGCCTTCCGCCATTTGTCTCCTCCACTTGTAGACTTTGGTTCCTAGAAGATCAGCACTGTCTCAGTTTCCAAAATGAGAGGTAGAAGCAGAGATACAAGGAACCCCCAAACCAAGCTATCCTGCATGATACCAAACGTGCCTCTTTTAAATTTATCCCTACTGTTAGGTAGAGTGAGGTGGTCTGCCTCAGGCAGCAAATTCAGGGCACCTTTAAAAAAGCAATAAAATTATTTTGCTTATTGTACTTGTTTAAAATCATGGGAGACCAAAGTCATAGCCAGGTCTATGGGTCCCCCTGCTCCTGTCCCAGTGTGTCATACACTCCTGCTGCTTGTGCTGTTTGTAGCATTTAAGTTGCAGTTGGCCGTCCTTGGTTTCTGGCAACTTAGCTATCTCTGGTGTTGCTCTGAGTTACTTCTACAAATCAAATGTCATTGTTACAAACATTTGGATAGGGGTATCTATATCCATAGCATTCATATCTCTTTCTGTCTGTCTATCTATCTTTATCTGCTCACAGAACAGTTAATCTTTCCCTCCCTTCTTCAAAACATGTAGTACAGTTTAGCCCATGTCCAGACATCATTACAGTGTGCATTTTTCCCATCCTTGTTCCACATTATTTGCAGTCACGGGCAAATGTGGAGAAAAAATCATGATAGCAGCATCAAGAAATGTGATATGTTGTTTACAGAGTAGAAGAGGAAGGACTCATCAGAGGGCTTTCTGGAGCAATCCTTGGGTGCATAGACATTGTTTGGGGTTTGCAGAATTCCTTGTATTCCTATATCTGAGGTCAAGGAAACAGCTGCAACCTCAAAGCTAGGAACCAGTTCTCCTTCTCCCACTCACCCCCACTGAAGACAGCACAGAAATGACTGTACCAGCTGCCTCTGTGATGTCAGGAAAGAGACCTTGGAGAGTGCATAAAGGAGGTGTTCCACAGGGAGAAGTGGAGACGGTGGGAGACTGCAAACACCAGGATGCAAAATATCCTGTGTCCTCTGCTGTCTGCTCCTCTGCCTTTCTGAAGCCCCTCAGCTAGATGGCTGAAAACAGCTGCCAAGCTGAAACGCAGAGCATGTGCTGCACGGACACAAAGATTGTCTTGATGGCTCTCCTTGTTCTGCACTGGAGATTCATAAGCCTCTGAGTTTGGGGTGTTATGAACACTGAGGGTATAATTGATGATAGGATTGCTTCCATAATCGCCTCAGCAGCCCGGTTTTTCTAGTGTGCAAGTCTGCCTAACCAATGATTTGAATGTGGTTGCATACATCTGTTTCATCTATTGCTCATTGAATACAACAGTGACTGAGGAAAGCTGTATTGTCACAAATGGCCTCTGCCAGTCCATTGAATGCTAGGATGGATCGCATACATTGTGTTCCAGTTCTGCATGGGTCTGACCTGGCATTTATTGATGTACTTAAAATATTTCTAGGTTGCCTTTTAGGGTAGTCACTGACAGATGCAAAGAGATGCTCAAGATATTGGCCTCAAGTAACACCCCAGGAGCTCAGTGTACTGTTGTTTCTAATGCAGTGCAGATTCTAGAAAAGATTCTGACTGTGATGCTTTGTTGTGAATCAGGGCAAACTGGATCTTTGTATCTGGAGTCTTAAGGTGGGAAGAGGAACATATGCCAGAAATGGTGTGCCAGCATTTGTGTTTTTATTGCAAGGTGAATGGGGAGGTGGTATGCGTGCATCATACCCTTCCTTCATTGGCTAATTCCCTCCTGGAAATGGCCTTTTACTCTAGTCATTTTATTTCCCCACCCTCCACCCACTGGACTAATACAGTATAAGTAAGCCAAGCCAGGGCAAAATGGCCTGAGAGATTTGTGGAGGGAAATCAGCAGACATGAGAGGGATTAGCAACCATGTCCTCATTCCTGCCAGTATTCCTTTCATTCATTCTACCTGGGCAAATACTCTATTGGAGCCACGTTTGTTGAGATAACATATACTTCTGCCCTAAGACAAAGAAGAGAAATAATGTTATATGTGTGCTTAT